ACAAGTAACACTGACCTCCCTAGTCAGTTGAAGGGTCGACCCCTCACACCCGGCCACTCCCTGAGTGTGAGAGTATCCCCTGGTTACTTCACCTTAGAACGAGCCACTCCTCCGAATTCATGGGTGATAGTAACCTACAAGTTGACGGTCGAAATAAAAGACACAGGTTCTCATACACCCCTTTTTCCGAGCAGACTTCGACTTGCTCTTGCTCTTCTTCCCCTTTCCACGGCCCCCTGACCTTCCGCCTTTGGTCGGAGGCTCAAGCGTGGAGATTTTCGGGGACTGGATGAAGCTATTGTAAACAGTCAGAAAGGGCTTTAAACGAGGATCGCTCTTGGGCACGTTCATTTGTGCCAGGACACTCAACCCCTCGTTGAGGTAAATGCGGGCACTCTTCTGGGTGTGCCACCTTCCTTGCACGAGGATCCGGTCAAGATTATTATGTTTTTGGAACCAAAACGTGGCCCCCCCCCGCCTAAGGGAGTAGGGCCGGAAGCCCAAGTTGGCTATGCCAAGTCCTTCAAGACAGGAATTAAAGAGGGCACGCCACTTGGCAGGTGGTGGAGTAAGACGTGTGGAGGTGTTTGCCACCTTCTTCCATGTGCGGAGAAAACGTACCACAGGCTCATATCCCAGGACTACGCTTTCAGCAGCCCCATGGCGTTCGCCGCCCTTGGTAAAACCTAGGGAGATCAAAGCTTGCAGCTGCCCCTCACCGCACTGCAAGTGCGCAGAGACCAATCCCAAGATTTCGCCGGTGCGCAACATAGAGTAAAACCCCACTAGGAGGGACAAAGCAAAGGATACCCAACCGTTAAACAATACCCATCCTGCCATAGAAAGGACGATGTGCTCAGGCAGGGGTGGCGCCCGTGAAGGGATCTCGTTTGCTTGCCAAGTGCGCAGGAGCCTCCATGCTCCCGGCATATGATTCCGCAGACCCGGCTGTGAGTCCTGGAGGCCTGCTAAAGTATCGCAGGCCTGGGCGCGTCCCTTGCCATTAAACCACAGGGTCTCCAAATAATCACAAACAATTGGGTCGAGTTTGGCTTTGTCAGTGGGGAGTTCGAGTCCTTCGGACTTCAAGAAGGTAAAAAATTCTTGGAGTGCCTTATCATATCGGCGCCTGGTGCTAGGCTGCACTGTAAGTTGCCTCAACGTTCCCATTCTCCTTCGAACCTGCATACGCTCCTCTGGTGTAGCTGCTTCCAAAACTCTCTTAGGCATTGCGGTACTTGGACCGCACCCGCCGACCCCAACGACTGGGCTTATCAGCGGGATTGCTGTCAGTGGCCACGTATGCCCAAATCATCTGCGAATTGCTACACAACAGAAGAGCGTTGATCCTGGAAATGGTTGAACGAAGTTTGCGCGAGCTGGTTCGTCCACGCGTCAGTGCATGTAAACATACCAGACTGTCCGTGAGATGGAGCATGCGACATCCAAGGTGGCCCTGCTTTTCCAGGCGCCAGCGCACTGCATTTAGGATGGCCCGCATCTCCAGCGAGTTGATGTGCTCTTTCCCACGTGTCCATTGCCAGCCGGTGACAACCTTCCAGCGCCATAGGCGTGAGGGGACGGAAGCTCGCAACCGATGAAAACGAACCATCTGAGTACTTGGCGTGGTGAGGAGGATATCTTCCCCCTTGAGGCTAATGAGATTGGCGCCAGGGCACCCTGCCCCGAAATGCATCCTCTGCCATGGGCCAAGGGTAGCCTCACCAAGCGCTCCTGCAGTGACGCCGCAGTGCCCGGGTGGCACCGTTCCATGATTTCTCCTGGGTTCAACACTGCACTCAGCCCCAACATACGCAGCAGCTGGTTGAGCAGCCAAGCGACCACCGGGACACTCCAGCTGTTGCCAAGGAGGGTGAGCCGAGTGTCGTTAGTGGAGCTTAGCTTCCGAGCATTCTTCGCAACGCAGTTACCTGTGTACCCCAGAGGAAAGCCTAGCATCAGTTCCCGTTCCTGGACATTGGGAATGCGCATCTCCCCACCCCTGTTGACCACACAATGCACGTCTTGGTATTGGTACGGTGGGAAGCGATGCATGTCAGAATGCCAACGCTGAAGGGCCCTGTCCGAACACTGGTTCAACCCCGCCGGTTTTCGGCCTGGTACCTCCGATGGGCGAGAGGTGGTGAACGTCGGAAATGCCTTCGCAGGCTCAACCTTCTTCCAACCAGGCATCAGCATCTCATCCAAACGCGGTTGTGCTTGCAACTGCCAGGAGCTAACCTCTGCTCCCGCCACAAAACTCGCGCCAGGCTCTTCCACCAGAGCCCAAGTAGTCCAGTACAGCCTAGGCCTATGGCACCATGTCATGTCACCAGCGTCAATGTGGACAGGTCTGTCTCCAAAACTGCTACTCATGATGTCACGATCCTTGGCATCCATGGAGCTCACTGACTCCATCAGAACATGGACCTGTGCCCAAGGGAAAGCAAGACGGACCCAGTCCCGCACCCTGGGGACATGGGCGAAAAGGCAAGACCGCTCATCTTTGAGAGCCCCGCGGCGATCAGTATTGAGCCCAGAAACTCCCTGACACGGTGGCCCAGCACCTATCACGATCAGGCTGCACTGCGAATAGCGGAGGCTCCACTTCTTGACCTCTTCAAAGGAGATGCTTGCGACATCCTCAATATGTTCAACACCTGGGTAGTGAGCCTCAACCACCCTCCTCGCCTGAGGGTTCTTCTCCACCGAGATGTACCCGGCGACTTGAACCCCTTGCAGGTCCATCGCCACACGCAGTGCCCCAATGCCGTCGAAGAGCCCGACCAAGAGCACCGAGTGCTCCGAGATTGCACGCGGCAAACGTCCTCTAAGCTCACCTCGCGCTGCCATCTGCCCTGCTGGTGCCAGGCCTCGTGAGCAGCAGACGCCCCCCCCGTGCTTGAAGCATCGCTGCATGTAGCCATGGGATGAACCCCCAGCCGGAAGTTCATCCTGACGAGGGGCAGCAAGCCCAGAAAGCGCAAGATCTCAATGCGACAATCAACAGGCAGTGCACGATGCACCGGTCCTCCTTCATTGAAGCTCTCGATAAACCTCTAAACAGCGTTAAGTGCACCCAGGGTTGGCCTCCGAAACATGGC